GAAGAGACGCGACGCGAAACCGATTGCGTGGAGCTGAGAACGAGTCGTTTTGAGGGGTAAAATGGGTAGTTCGGCCCCCTCCAGACCCGTCTGGCGCTCCCGGGCGCAGCTCAGCGTCGGAGATCGTTCATAGACACCCCACGCGCCTCCGGTTGCGCGGGTCTGACCACAGAGTCAGAAGTCGTTGATCTGGCCTCCTCTCAAGAACCGGCGCCGCGCCGCGGTCCGGAGCCCGAACGTCTGCTGCGCCAGCAATAGGTCGCCTCGTTCCGTTTTTTCGCGGAGGCCCCGGGGGAAGGGGTTGGGATGGGCGGACGGCGAAAAGCGGAACGAGGCCCGCACCTGCCGCGACCGTGGACCGCCAGAACCGATTTCGAGGAGACGGACGCAGCCCGTGCGTCGCCGCATCGACGCCCGCAGCGAAGCGGCTTCGCCAGGTTCGTCCAGGGACCGGGGGCGACGCGCCGCGCCAGGCGCCGGCCCCGGGGAGCCCCATGGACGGCCGTCCCAAAATGGGCTGCTTCGAAAGAAACGACGGACACAGCTCCCGTGGCCCAGTCCCGTGAAGCACCCACCCCAGTCTAGATACAGATCCCCTTGCTGCCATCGACTCTGAGCATGGGCCGAGCTTCACGGTGACTTCAGCGTCGCTCGCGGCACATATCTTTCGTTGATACTCCGGCGGTGCCGCACGAACCTGAAGGACGGCGCCGGCCGGACGCCCCTCGACGCCTGCCCGGGGTCGTGCGGGACGTGTCGTGTCCGGCCTCCCCGGGCAGCATCTCTTCGGGCAGAAATCAGAGCCTGAGCCCTGGTGCGCCCTCGGACGACGTCAAGATATAGTAGGCAAGGGCTTTAAATTAATTACCGATTCCATGGGCGACCCACCCGAGGGGCATCCACCGCTGTCATACGGCGGCCCCTCGTCGCTTTTTCGCTATCCCCGCCGCGTGGAGCCTAGGCGTCGTTACGACGGCGCGTCGGCGCGCACGCCCGCGAGGACGCCGTCGGCGAAGCGGTCGCCGAGCGCGAGCTTCCGGTTGACGCCGGCCGCCGCGAGCCGCAGCGCGCGGTCCGGCACGAACACGAGGGGACCGATGAGGTCCGCGGACATGGAGTACTCGAAGCTGCCGACGAGCGCCGCGGCGCCGCCGGCGTCGGGCTGGCCCTCGAGGTGGCCGCGGAGCCGGAAGTCCATCGGCACGGGCCGCCGCTTGCCCCGGAGCGTCGCGAAGGCCTCGACGCTCCGCGACGC